CCCCCCCCCCCCCCCCTTCAAAAAAAAAAGCCCACCCAAAAAAACATGAGCAAAAGAAAGAAGAATAGTTAATAAGGATTGCTTCCAGAATAAGGCTCGTCCAAAACTTTAGGGGTTTAATAACAATATGGTCAAACCCATCCCCATCTCATGTAGATCAGTCATGACATATTTGGAAGTAAAGAATAATTAGGCCAAGGGCCAGAGCAATAGGGCTCAAACCTATCCCCATCAAGAAGCAATCAACACGAGAAACCAAAATAGAAATATACAAATCCCCTCCACCTGTCCACCATTCTCGCCCACAAACATAAGATACAGAATCACCCTCACAACACAGGTTATCCCATTATTTGAATGACCCAGAAGAACAACTATCCCTTTGTGAGCGAGAAACAAAGGTCCAATCCTAAACTAACACTTCTATTCATTCAATATCTTGGGACAAAGACAGAAGTAACAGAGATGGAAACTTGCAATAAATTCCAGAAGAAATAACAGAATCACCCTCACAACACAGGTTAATCCCATGATTTGAATGACCCAGAAGAATAACTATCCCTTCATGAATGAGAAACAAAGAACAAATCATCAATTAACACTTCCAATCATTCAATGTCTTGGGACAAATACAGAAATAACAGAGATGGAAACTTGCAATAAATTCCAACCACATCAAGATGTAAATTGAGTAGGCTCAAAACAAAAGAAAACATGACATGAAAATGTAGAGGCAAAGCACAACTTACAGCATAACTAGGAAGATCGAATTTCTTCCGCTCTCCAAAGACTTCGGAGTGCTTTAGGAAAAGAATAATGAGGAGTATTATTAAAAGAACTAGAATGTAGAATCTGGCAAAAGTCAAACAAGAAAAAGAAATGAAAAACATGAAGAATATCAAAACTAATAAAACATACCTCAAGGTTGTTTAAGTGCAAGTCAGGTTGATTGCTTGGCCTGAAAAGGAGTTGAATATTAGTTTTAGATAACAAGAGACCTCCATACTTACTGATTATCAAATAATGGTGAAACAGTAACCACAGGAACTAATGTGACACTCAAATTAACTAACAAAAGTAAGAACAGATTCTTGCTCCAACTCTGAGAAAATGCTAACCTTCGATACCAATATTTGTATGTAGCATACAAAGAGAATATGATCAAGAATATTATGAGGTTGAATGCAATGATAGTAGTAAGACTGATTCGTGATGGAGCCTTCTTCTTTTTGCTCTGAACTAGCAGTGCTTGAGGTTTTATTCTTGCCATGAGTTACTTCTAACAGTGTTCCTTTAACACTGTAGAGTGCATAAAACAATCAAAGTTAATGACCAGCCAACATATGTAAAAGAGATATGTAACAACTAGGTATCAAATCACATGACTAAGGTGAATAAAAGGAAACCTGACAAGGTGATATATCTTCAAGAAAACAAAAAGGCATTACTGACACATAAGTGAGAAGTAAACATATTACGACACCAAATGTAGACAATGTTATTCCAAGAGCACTAGATTACCTAAGAAATTTTGTAAGTAGCTAAATCAAGAGATTAACAATAACAAAAAAAATTATAAAATAAATCACAAGCTGGAAACTAAAACCTAGAGAATTTTTATCTTCTTGTCTCAGCTAAGAAAGCTTATTGTTGAGCACGAATTTTTGAGAAAGGATGTATAATTGAACGATAGAAGATGATGGGCTCGCTAAAAACAGATTTTCAAACTTAAAGTAAATTAGCATGATCGAACTTTCTAGGTTTGGGATCTTAACTCTTAGTAGTTAGTAGAGTTTTTTCAAACAGGAATTAGAGTTTACTGTCTTTCAATGGATTGAATTGGGTAAGACTGTGTCAAAGAGAATCCGATGGGCATAAGCAGAACTAAAGAAGTACATTTGTACTTTACATACAATAGTTTTCAGCTAAATTACCAGATTGGAATATTTAGTTTCTCCATTTAGGCCTTTACCAATAAGGTATATTTAGTTGCTCCGGCAACAATAAGGTATTAAAATGTGTTTAAGTTTCATTAAGGTAGAAAAGTTGGATGGCAGTGAAATTGACTGCCGAAAATCCTCACGTAATTCTTTTTAGCTACTGAGTTAGCAAAGTGCAGATGATGTGTATAAGGTAGTTGGGATTCATTTAAACTAAAACAGGAATAAAATTGAGGCTTTTTGTGTGGATTAGGATTCTTGGTTGGTAGGGGAAATTTTGGGTTCAATTTTGGTTTCTAGAGTTAGTTATGAATTATGCCTAACCCTCTGACACATCATCAAAACTCCGCCACATCAATCTTTTTATTCATTTAAATAAGATCATGTGTGCATATGTGAAGCTTTGGCACCTAAATCACATCAGCGATGAAAGATTTGACCTTAATGGCAAAACTAAACACATTTTAATACCTTATTGTTGCTGAAGCAACTAAATGTACATTATTGGTAAAAGGTGGCAATTATGTATACCAATCTGGTAATTTAGCCAATAGTTTTCAATTACGCTAAGAAGTCAAATAGGCAAAGAGTTAGTCTTTTTCAACCTGGTCAGAAGCTCACTGGCTATGAATATATCAGGTCAAGTTTGATCAACGAATTTTTGAGAAAGGATGTCCAATTGAACAATAGAAGATGATGGTCTTTTACTAAAAATAGATGTTCAAATTTAGAGTTAAATTGGAAATATCTAGCATGATTGAACTTTCTAGGTTTGAGATCTTAACTCTTAGTGGTTACTAGAGTTTTTCCCAAAAGGAAATTAGAGTTTACTGCCTTTCGACGGATTGAATTGGGCAAGATCAAAATGACTTCGACAGGCATAAGCAGAACTAAAAAAGTACATCTGTACCATAGAAGTCAGGCTCATGGGACGCTATAGTGAACCACGACTCAGGTTCCATCGTCCCAGATTCATGGTGAAACACGACCAAATTGACTAACTCCAGTGACTTGATTTAGAATTCAAACCAGTTAAAATTTAGCAAACAATAACTCTTTTTCAATAGAATAAAATAACAAAAAACATGAAAAATCAAGCAAATAGAGTATGCATACTTTAATTGCAACATAGTTCTCAATATTCTTTTACCGTTATCGATATCAACTAAGCATATTTCTTAAATTTGACTATTGCAAAACCTCCTATTCCTACATTTAAGAACCGAATTTATTACGTACCATGTTCCCTAGCATAAAATATAAGACTTACACCCTCATACTGATTCCTAATAAGTGGCGTGCCAAGCTCCCATACTTGTCCCGTGAACCAGAACAAAACAGATTCCATGCAACTATGATATGTACTTTACATACAATCAATTTCAATCACGCTGAGAAGTCAAATAAGCAAAGAGTTAACCATTTTAAACCCGGTCAAAAGCTCATTGGTTATGAATATCTTAGGAAGTCCTAAATTCAAACTTAAGGTTGATCTTTTGGTGGTCCCAAAGAGTTGTGGTCCCAAAGAGTTATAGGTTTCTGCGGTTCTGCATAAAGAGTTGTTTGTACTCCAGATAGAGGTTTAACCTTGAATTTAAAGGATCAATTTATTAAATTTCGGTAAGGTGGCATCATACGGACCCTTAAACAATAATGTAAAATCAAAAGAGCCCAATTACGATGTAAAACAACATAGATTGAATGGTCGATACAAATGATAAGATGATAGTCTAATATGTGGAATGCATTTTAGCAGTTAATGGATATGAAAAGATTTCTTCGGAAAAGATTCTCTTAGAATCATCCTCTCTCTTCTTTCTAGCTTCTTCTTCTTACTTCCTCCATAGGCCATCATCATCTCTGCTGTTTTAATATTCCACCTGTATACTATCTTCGTCATCTGCTAATCTAACCAAGGTCGAAAGACTCTTCAATGTGATAGAATTCTCCTTTGTTTCCTATTATATCTTAAGACAATTCAGGACTACGGAGCAAACTTTTCAATATTTTAATCTAGGTTGTCGTCCAGAAGCTGAACCTTCCACTATCCTTGAAAAAACAGTTCTGTTTTCAAGATATTTGTTGTGACTTGTGAGACACTTTTCTATATCCAAATCTAGGTAATCATCTGGGAATGTAATCTTCTACAACTATCCTCAACAAATAATCTCGCAGAGTCCTTTGTCATGACTTGTTAGAGAACTTCTCAATATCCAAGGTTCAATATATAGCAGATCTGTAAATCTCAAAGAAGGTATTCTGAAGATACAAAGATTTTAAATGTATACAGAAACTAGAGATTTCAACAAACAGCTAAGCTGGTTCTCATTTTAAGTTTTTTTCCCCATATGAAATACAAAAGTCCAGCACTGTGGTGGCTTACATGCAGCTTACAATCCTAATATGCCTAATACAAAACTTTTTCCTAATCTGTTTAATACAATTTTTTTCCCTAATGTGTTTAATACAAACCAAATATTAAGAACCATACGCATGGGAAAATCGAGTTCTCAAAATAAATAAATTTAAAAAAATGAGATCTATCAACTTACGCAGAAAACGAATCAAAAACCATCTTAATTACTGATAATCTTGCATCAATGAACAAAAACAAATCAAATCCATCATTTTTCCAATTTATAAGGCAAAAGTTGCAGGAATCATAAACGTTCAACAAAATTAGCCTAATTTCTCAAATCAGCGCGATTGACTAAATCAAACGAAGTTAACCCTAAATTGCCTAAAATTTTCAATCAACCATCACTTTAATTTCAAAAGTGCATCCAAATTGAAATTCTAAAAGTAACATACCGTTTCTCTTCAATTCCACCGCCAAATTTGACACTCTCCACGTCCTAGCCTGATTCCTCCGTCGACGGATCAAGAATTCAAGAGATCAGCGAATCAGCGAAAGAAACTTTTGATTTTTGGGATGGGGGAATTTCTGAGATTCTAGGGTTAGAGAGAGAGGGGAGGAGACAGAGAGAATTGAATCAAGAGCAAAGAAGGGAGAAAAAACCCAGCTGCTGGCTAACGTGTGAGTATTGACCGCGGTGAGGGAGGTATGAGTACCCGGCGGTGAGAACTATAAGTGGACCGCTTCTTCGCTTCGATTTTTATCGTTGAACCGTTGGCGTCCAAATCTCAATCAAGGCCCTAAGCCCAAAGGTTGGATTAGATTTGGGCATGGGTTATTTCGATATTGGACCCCACGTCTTCAATATTTGGATATTAGCCCCCACATCTTTAAAATGGATCTCCGCCCCGCCCCGCCCCAAATACTAATAGTATGTAGAAATAAGCCCCCAGTTAATTATTTCGATATTAACCCCCCATATCTTCAATATTTTGACATTAGCCCTCAAGATCTTTGAAATTATTTCAAGCCCCCTAAGGGCTCTCTTCAGCCCTAATCCTCTGACAAAATGAAATATAAATTAAACCCAAAAGATAAATCTTGGTCAAACAGAACTCAAGTGTCCATAATCACTCATGAAACAAGATAAAAACTAATAACAGCTTCATGCATGTACATAATTAGCAATTGCATATTTCAAGGAAAACAAGATTCCATTGATAGAAGTACAGTTAGAAACTTGCTTTTACATGGCTAAAATGATTAGACTTTCTATTCTCAAAATGCCATACACAAAATGTCATACACATATGTTGAGGGTAAAATTTTAAAACAGACCCCTTTGCAAAAATATTCTCAAAAAAAACATGTTTTGAAAATATTCGCAAAAAACGACCTAGTTTTAGTCTCAGGGCTGAAACTGGGTCGTTTTTTACGAAAAATATTTCCAAACTTCACGGGAGTTGAACTCCCGTGAAGTTTTTTCAAAACAAAACTTCACGGGAGTTCAACTCCCGTAAAGTTTTGGAACATTTTTCGCAAAAAACGACTCAGTTTCAGTCCTGATGCTGAAAATAGGTCGTTTTTTAAAAATAAAGTGAAAACGGGTCTTTTTTTGGGAATATTTTTGCAAAGGGGTCTGTTTTCAAAATTTGTCCCATATGTTGATGTTTGATATCAAACAGTCAAATAAAAGGAGTGATTAAGTTAACGGTGGTCCCCTAAACCTCCGAATGTCTGGTTCTAGAGTAAGCTATTCTTCTGTGGACAAGTAACAAATCATAAGAGGGGCGGGGTTGGGCTCCCCGGTTGTTCCTCCGACGATCAAGTCAGTGATTTGCTTAAGTGGAGAAGTAAAATAAACTACATTATTTCTTAAGCACGATGGATAGAGGTAAAGATCTTACCTTATTATTGAAAATAGTACCACTATTTATAATGGTGGTAGAATGGTAGAATGGTAAGTTAGGCTGATTGGGGGTGTGTGGTGCCATCGCTGCTCCGATGTGTCATAAAGACTATTGGGGGCAGAGGTACGATGGCGCTCATAATGCATTTAATGTCATTTATTGCGAGGCGATTGGTCACCAATGCACGGGAGGGGGATCGAGGATCGAGGCATTTCGTCGCCTTTCTACTCGTCCGGTGGCGAGAGTACTGTCTTTTGAGTCACCCTCGCAAGGTATCGGTCAATTAGTCGGTGGAGTGGAGTGATTAACAGTCGACTTAGTCAGAGGTCGACACGTAACACCATTCGAGATGTCAGCTCGTAACGTCTTTTGAGTCGAGAGTCGTGAGTCGTCCTCGCAAGATGTCGGCATATCGAGTCAATCGAATTGGACCTTACATTATCTTGAAGCGCTGACTTGATTATGCGTAATGTGGGACATTTGTCCGCCATTGATTGGTGATTATCTTTCATCACTAAAATGGCTATAACAACATATACGACCACAAGCCATTGTTTGCTTACATAACTAAGTACCAAGTGAAATTTTCTTTGTTTGATAACACGTATAATTCACAAGAAGATGACAATGTTTGCAAAATGTCACACAATATCTCATCAAACTATTTCCATATGACTTTGCTAAGCCCTGATGTTGTTGATGATTGAGTAGGCTGGTTCACCGATAATTGATTTGATGATGCTTGAGTTGATGCTTGAGTTGATGCTTGAGCTGCAGCTGCTATAGGTGGACCTAATGCATGATAATCTTGAAGTGGTAAGCTACTGGTAGTGGTGATGGTGGTGGTATTGCATGATAAGCTGATGCAATATGAGCTGTTGTTGGATCTGATGTTGGAGGTCTTGTTCCTTTACCTGATGCTAGAGCTCTTCCTCTACTTCTAATAGCTTGTAACTTGTTCATTCTTGAGCTTGACTCACCAAGCTTACAACAAGTTAATGTAAATAAATGTAATTCATATAACCTTATGTTGTTGCATTCAGCATTATACATCACCTTATCGTACTAGCTTTTGATGGTTGTTCTTGTGCATGTCCTCTTCCTGAAGCTTGAGATTGCTATTGAGGAATTTGGTTTCTTTTTAGAGGTTGCCTGCAAGTGCTCTTATGATGACCCAAAGCTCCACATCTTGTGCACGTGTGCTTTCTTTTATCAACTTGCTTAGGTTCAGTTTCATCCCTTCCCCTCATTCTCTTCTTTTTTGGCCTTCCTACAGGCCTCTTTGCATGTGAGGTTCTAATTGTGAAATCCTTGTCATATGGCTCCCATTGATCTCTTGATGGCATAACATCAATAGACTTAGCATAGGCCATCATGTAACTGCAAAAACAAACAATATTCTATTAGTTATAGAAGCTAATAATGTACATCAAAGGAAATAGATCAAATCTAAATGTCATATACCTTTGAATAGAGTAATACGAGTCACAAAATTGTGACCAGTCTGCATTCCTAATAGACCCACAAAGTTAGCCACATAAGTACATGGCAAACCTGTAATTTGCCACCACCTACAGCTACAATTTCTTTCCCTTAAGTTGATAGTTCTCCTTTCAAACTGATATTCCACTTTAGCCTCTTTATCATTTGTGCAAAATACCTTGTATCCTTCTAGCCTTTTGCTAATATCTTGACAATATCTGTCAGCTACTGGAACTAGTTTGCCCTTCCACTTATGTCCAAGTCTTCTTCTTTTATTGAATTTCTCCATTAGATTTCTCCTCAGCTTAACTATAAGGTCAACAATGGGGAGAAATCTAGCATCTAGGATCCAAGATCCAAGAATTTAAAGACTCGGATAGATTGTTATTGGTGTTGTTTGTTTCTAGATGGATGTGTAAACTGACTTCTAGACCACACAAATCTATCCTTAGATGCCAACTTGATGTAAGCTTGATGCAAAACATTATCCCAAGCCTTCATATGATCATTGAACTCCTCGCTTGTGTAAGCCCTTGCTCATCCCATACTGCTTGCTCAAAAAAGTATCCTTGAAAGTCCTTTTTAAAATTCTTCCAAAGATGTCTAATACAAACCCTATGCTCCACTTAAGGTAATAATATAGACACTACCTCCAAAAGGCCTTTCTCTTGATCACTAATTACTGATATGTGGCCAATATCACCAAGAAAAGCTTGCAACAAGTTTTGCAAGAACCAATACCAACTATCACCACTTTCGCCTTCCACAATAGCAAAAGCAATAGGAAATGAACCATTATTCACATTTAGAGCATTAGCAGCCAATAATGTGCCAAAATATTTTGACCTCACATGACATCCATCAAGCCCCATGAATGACCTAATACCGTGTTTGAACCGTTCAATACTTGCATCAAGGCAAACAGACATTCTTTGAAATGCATAATCAGATTCCAATTGCACTTTAACATGACTACCAGGATTTCTTTTTAAAAGCTCATGCTTTAAAGATAACACCAAATCATAGGTAGCTTCTATGCTGTCAAAGATGATCTCTCTGGCTTTCTCTCTCCTCTCCAAGCTCTATTGTAATTGAGTGTCATTTTGAATTTTGACTGCATCAAACTTATAATATCTTTAGGGGTTATATTAGGATTTGACTTAACATCTCCTAGTATATTTTGAGCAACCCAATCTACAATAGCTTGAAAATTACCACACTTATTTACACCAGTACATGTATGCAAGCCCTTGAATACAAAAATCCCTATTGTTCTTCCATCTAGAAGTCTTTTTGCTCTAAGACGCCAAGGACATCTCTCTTTTTTGCATTTAACTGCAGATCTTTTAGGCACATTTTTTACAAGTTGATAGTTAAAGTCCATTTGATGCTATGTTGTTGCAAACAAAATCTCAAATATTTAACATCTTTGAATTTCTTTCCAAGTGCAAACTTAGGATCTTCAACATTTGTTTTGTAGACAAACTCTTCCATACTCCTAACTTGATCCACTTCATCTTCACTTGATTCTTCCATCTCAGAGCTATGAACTGAATGGTACTCATTTATGGAATGACAATCATCAGCATCATCACTACAACTCTCTACATTATCCACTTGTATGTCTACATCACCTTCATGACTGCATCCTTCATTTACATCTCCTATCTCAAAATTTTGTTCATCATTTATTCGCATCTTGTTGTTTTGTTCATCAGCTAGTCCCCAGTTATATCCCCCATCCCAGTCATATCCATTCTGATCATTATCCCCATCATACATTTCATTAATTCTTGGAATGGATTTTAAAGTATAGAACATTTCCACCTTCTTCTTTTTCAGATTTTTTAACACACCGATGAATATTCTATTGGATTTAATTGTATAGCAAATCTCCTAGGGTTGGTTTCAGGGATTGTGTACACCAACTTCATTACATTTTCCATAGTAGTAAGAAGAAACTCAGAAAATTTGTTCTTCAAGCTTCTTCAGTGATGTGTTCTTATGTCAATCCTAAGTGTTTTTTGATGTCCACATTCATACTTCCTTCTCCCAGTCCTAACGATATTTCTCCAGTACCCATTATACCTCAAAACAACCTCCACAACACCATCATCCATCAGTAAATGCCCAAATTAATACTATATGCAACAATAAACAGAAAAAGTCACATAAAGCTCATTCACAAACCAAAATCATGAAAAGTTATAACAAAAATCACAAACAATAACAAAAGTAGTTTTTTATTGAAGGCTCAATAAACTACTTCACTTGTAGTTAAAAAAAGGAAAATTGAAAGTCACAAACAATAAAAGTGAAAATCATAATGCTCGACCACAATCCCTAAGTGAAAATTCACAAATCCAAGCTAACATCAAGCTAGAATAAATTATTAACATAATACCAAACATTTATTTCAAAACCCCTCTCCGTTGTTAAGAGTGAATATCCTAATAAAAATACTTCAATTGATAGTATAGAGAATGAAAAAATTTATCCACATAATATGAAGCATTTTTTTCAAAAGCCCTAAATCTTTGTGAATTACATGCAAAAACTGGAATACAAGAGTAAATTCTGAAATTATTCATGAAACAAACTATCCAAATTTTCAGTGTTTTACATCTGTCTACCCCCACAGACTCCATATTAATCAAACTTCATCATAACTTCCCAAAAAGGACTCTAATTTGAGAACAATAATATCAACCTAGAACAAATTATCCACAAAATTAACAAGTATTTTTGCCTAAAGATTCCAATTTTCTCAAGATTCATAAAAAAAAACCCATAAATTCCCTCTAAAAACTGAAATATGGATTCATTACCTTCCTCTTGAAATCTTGCAGCCTCGAAACCGGTGAAGTGAGAATTAAAACCCTCGTCATCGAAAATAAACTCAGCTCTCCAGCATGCGTTCAAACTAAGGCACAATGCTCAACCTAAATGCCAAATCTTGAGAGACTACACAATCCCCAGCTTCGATTGCCATTTTTGAGTGCGGGTTAGGGTTTTGATCAAGCTTGAAGTCATCAATTTGGTTGGGGGTGAAGTGAGAGGAAAACTCTCGCCTTTCTTAGATTTTGGTTAGAAAAGAGAGAGGGAACCGAAGGGTTTTGGGGTTTTATCTTATTTTACGATGTAATTATGGTTAGTATGAACCAACCATGGTTACGATTTTTATGGGGTGTTCGCTTCAATAGCTGGCAAGATTTGGATTACTAATCCCATATTTTTTTATGGATTCCTAGTTAATTTATAAAAAAAATTAAGATAATTTTATGTTGTCATAAAATCTTTTTTTTTTTTTCTATGTTTGTTTCATAACATGAAAAAATAAAATCCAACTTTATAGAAACCCTCAAATTCCTATTCTTTAGTTTGGTTTGGTATGAGAATAGGATTTGGTCTCATAATAATATAGAGTTTGTGAAGAAACGAAATCCGAAAAAAGAGAGAGGGAGAATAGTACAAATGCTTCAGATTTCTGCCCCAAATCCGTCCAAATCATTAAGATTTGGATTTCTATAAAAGAGCTTTGCTACAGGGACCCAAAATATGGGACCAATAGGGGGACAAGTGAGGTGTCCCCCTCCTATTGAATAATGAGTTGGCCATCATTAATGATGGCCAACTCATTATCCAATAGGAGGGGGACACCTCACTTGTCCCCCTATTGGTCCCATATTTTGGGTCCCTGTAGCAAAGCTCTAAAATCAATATAATTTTTCAACTTTATAGATTCTGAAATTTATAAAATTTTGGGGAACCAAACTCAAGAATATGATTCATAAAGAATCATTTATTAATAATTTTATCATTATCAGACCTAAATCCTATTCTTTTTCCATAAAAATGGTGAAACAAACAGGCCATTATTGTAAAATAAACGGAGTGGCTCGTCTCAACATACTAATAAGATTTTGGGAAGCTGACATCAATTTCAAAGATTTGGGGGGCTAATGTAGAAATATAGAAGATTTTTTTTTTTTTTTGGCAGGGGGGGGGGGGGGAGGTGGTAATATCAAAATAACCCTTTGGGTATTTAAGTATGGTGTTGGATTGGATTAGATTCTGCTTTGATAAGGATATTGTGCAATCATGTTTTTTTTTTTGCATTATTAGGTGTATAATGTCAAAAAGTTAACTTTGCTCATATTTTGGATTTCCAAATTAAACTTTTAAATTAAATAAATGATAGCTTTTTCATGAGATGTGCCTTTCAATTGGTTGGAAAATCTAAAGGCCACACCAAAAGTCTGAATTTAGTGATGAACGAATATCTACCGTCTAGAAATTTAGTTTGTGTCATTTGCTAATTATGCTTGGATTATGAACATTTAGATCACAATTCTTTACATGATATGAGATTTTTAACTCTTTAGCTATACATGGTTGTTGAACAGGTAATATTTTTCTCAAATCCCTTTTTTATATGTAATGAGAAATTGATGGTACTCTTAAAGGCACCCAACAATGCCACCTAAACGCACAAAACAATGACACATGTTAATTTTATTTTGACATTAAATTGAAAGAATTCTTATATGATGGGTATTTTTTACCATAATTACAGTCCTCATGAAAATAAATGTATCCAAAATTAAAAAAATCTAATTATAATTAAATACTTGTTAATCTTAATCAATGATAAGTGACATACTTTATTTTAATATTAAATTATAATTCTTATATGATGAGTATTTTCTATCCATAATTAGAATCCCCATCAACTTAAAATTAGAAAATTCTAATAATAATCAAATATTTGGTAATCTTAAACTAAATAATTAGTAATCTTAATAAAATCATAATTACCCATAATTAAAAAATAATTACATTTTTAATTCTCTTTAATTATTCATAATTAAAAAACTGATAATCATATTTTTAATTCTCTCTTCTTTTATAGATAAAGGAGGGATTATTAACCTTACATTGATTCCTAATATTTCCTTTATATAAGTTTTTTACGGGTCACGTGGAATTGAAAGCCGAATTTCAAGATATTTTTTAAATAAAAAATGCACTGCTACAAGTTTAACCTAATTTTAATTTGTTTTTGTAAAAAAGGTGATATTAGGAGTATCAAAAATGCACTGCTACAAGTTTAACCTAATTTTAATTTGTTTTTGTAAAAAAGGTGATATTAGGAGTATCTTAGTCTAATATCATTTTACTAAGTTTAATTTTAATTTGTTTTTGTAAAAAAGGTGATATTAGGAGTATCTTAGTCTAATATCATTTTACTAAGTTTCATGTTAATGTAGTTTTTTTGTGGAGTAATGCCGTAGAACTGTTATCTCACTCATTTGCATTCCTATTGAACTCTAGGAGACTTCGTCCATGGAACTCGTCGTCTAATTTGTGCAAACTATTTTATGGATATCTAAGAATCAAAACCAGGAAGTCAAAGAAAATTGCTTTTGTGCAAACTATTTGTAGTTTTTTTTGTGGCTTCTTATTTTGAGAAAAAATAGTTTCATGTTAATGTAGTTTTTTTCAATTTAGGAGCTAAAAGTGCATGTCTTTGATATTTTTAAATGCTACATATTTCAGATAAGCAGTAATCTATGTGGGTCATTTGTAATTTATAATTTGTTCAGATTTTCTAAGAATTCAACTTCGTTTCTAACTGGGTAATAATTTTTTGCATCGTAGATGGATAATGATGGTGATTATTCTGATGAACAAAGTGTTGTTAATATGGTTCAAGGTGCTGCCCTATCCGTTTTAATTATAATAATTACTGTTATAAGGAGAATGCAAGCAAGGCGTAAATCAATTCGTAGTGGTCCAAGTAAGGAAAAAAAAGACAAGAGAGAGCTAGAATTGAGCACATAGAGCGAATTTATAATGGTTTTAGTGATAGTTGTGTGAATTATATTAGAATGCGGAGTGGTGCTTTTGTTAAACTAGCGAGTATAATGAGGAACAATTGCATGCTAACAGACTCAAGAAATGTAACAGTGGAAGAACAACTTATCATGACACTGAACATTCTGGGTCATAAATCTAAAAATCGGATTGTTAGATCTCATTTTACAAGATCAGGGGAGACAGTTAGTAGATATTTCAAAAAGGTATTACAAGCAATTATTTGCCTGCGAGGACGATACATGAGACAAGCCCCCAATGACATCCCCCAAGAGATCGTTAACAACCCGCTATACTACCCTTATTTCAAGGTATATCTACACTTTAAGCACATTTAAGTGTATAATCAATGGAAGTAAATTGTAATTTAGTTGTGTGATACATGTATTATAGGATTGCATTGGAATGATTGATGGGACTCATGTTGATGCAATGCTTCCGATTAATCTTGTTGCACGCTTTCGAGGCCGCAAAGGTATTACACAAAATGTGCTTGCAGCTTGCACCCCAAACAAGCTATTCACATATATTCTAGCAGGTTGGGAGGGGTTTGCAAATGATTATAGGATTCTTCAGGATGCATTGTCTAGACCACAACCACATGGATTAAGAGTCTATGATGGTAATTAAATAAAGACTTAACTTAAAATTTATTAAGTTTAATATTCAAACTTGACTTAACAATTATCTTAATGAAATTGTAGGCAAATACTATCTATGTGATGCTGGGTACCCAACCATGCCAGGTTTCATCTCTCCATACCGAGGTGTTCGATATCATTTGAAAGAACATTCGGGTAAAACACCTAAGAATAGAAGAGAATTATTCAATCTAAGACATTCTTCATTGAGGTCTAAGATTGAATCTACATTTGGCACATTGAAGAATCGTTTCAAGATTTTGTGTGCTAAGCCGCATTATCCTTTTCCTATACAAGTAGATATTGTATTGGCATGCACGGTACTCCATAATTTCATTGCAACTGTGGATCCAAGAGATGAACTACTCAACGTTGATGAATTTAATGAAGACATTGATGGTGAGGTGGCCTTCGAGAATGACACTAATTTAGTTGATTTTACTCAAAATCAATCTCAAAGAGAGCAAACTGAATCAAGAAATGAGTGGAAAACTCTTAGGGATAACATTGCTTGGGCGATGTGGGTGGACTATTGTGATAAGTATAATCATGGTGTAACCACAGAGACTTGATTTTTTTTTGTTTTATTTATGCTCATATATGTACTCAATAACTCTATTTCCATTAATGACGTTCTGTTTTTAATTATCGTTTTTAATGTTTTACTTCTTTCAGTTATCTAACTTTCTCTATTTAATTAGTAATGGCTGATAATACATCATTAAGTGGGAGAGATAATCCAAAAGGCAAGGGGGTAGTTCCATCACCTTCCCCACCACCTCAACCCCCGCAGTCTGTACATCATGGCGATGGTGGGTATTTTCCATTTCAGCAGTCATATTTTGTACCACCACCTCAAGCATATCCGAACATGCCATTTCATGATAGCAGCTACTTTCCGATGCACCATACTCTTGGGTCATATACGAATATGCTGAATTCTTCAACTTTACCTCCACAATTTCACAGTCCTAATCTTAGTGGGGTGCAGCTTTCTCACACTAGTGGTAATGGATCTACTCCCGAATCAGGTTCCAAACTGGACCTCGTAGAAGAAGGGGTAGAAACATCGCCAAATCCAAAGAAGAAGAGGAAAAAAACACATCTAAAAAAAACGATGAAGCAGGTGGTTCTCAAGGAACCAAACATTTGTTCTGGGATTCCCGTTATGATGATGAGCTCATTCCATTTCTTGCCGACTTGGTAAGGAAGGGTTATAAACCCGACAAAAGCTTTAAGAGAACTGCTTTTCATATGGCTTCTCAACACATTAATGAGAAGTTTAACACAGTTTTTAAGTGGGATAATGTCATGCACCGCATCAAAACTCTACGAACAAGATTTCGTGATATGGAAACTTGTCGTAATCTCAGTGGTGCTGGATGGGATGAAAGTACGAAGACTGTCATCATGGAGCCCGAATATTTGGATAGGTGGATTGAGGTAAATAAACTCTGGTAAAACGATGATGATTTTTTCTATTTTTTACTTATTTTCATTGAATTAATTAAAATATGTTTTTTCAGGACAAGAGCTTTAAGAATGCTAAGCTTAGACAATATGTCAATAAACCCCTGAGGCATTATGATGATCTCGCCCTTATCATCGGTGATGATCAAGCTACAGGACAATTTGCTAGTGATGCTTGGAAAAAGTTTAGCCGTAGTGAGACAATAAATCTTGGAGATGAGATGAACTCACCAATGCATTCTCCCCAATCTACTCAAGTACACATTTTAGATGACGAGGACACTCCTTCGCCTAATGAAGCACACAACACATCAAGTTCTAAAGTTAAGTCATCATCCGCCAAGGTAAAGGCTCGTAAGACCAACCTAGATAGTGAGATCATGCTAAAGATGGTGGATAAGATAGATGTATTTAGCACAAACATGAAGTGTGTGAATATGCATTGGACCGAGAAGTTATCCACGGTCCTATATGCTCATTCACATGAATTTAGTGTTGCTAAGTTAGATACATACTACCGTCACCTGTTTATGAATGAGCATGAATCTAGACTATTTATGGGCATATCTTCGGATGGTCAGAAGGAGATGATAGAGGCATTTCTCAACAAAGAGGATTGAAGACATATAGATCATGGGTGTGTGTGTTAGTTTATGATTCTCATTTAAGCACTTTTTTGTTTGAAAACTTTTTTAATTATGGTTGAAGACTAATATCGTTTGGTTTAGAGACAATACTTTTTTTAAATGATGTTTAGTTTTGTGGTTGTCGAATTGTATGACAATGACTAATATTATATTTATATTGTAGTAAGTAGTTATTTGCTTTCATTTTATAATATTATCTTTCATACTGTGAATATTGTGGTGTACTAACCTTTAAATTAAACTTGTGACTGCAGGATATTTATAAGTCACCATACAATTTTTTAAGATGCAAGCAACCTACAATGTGCACACATTGTACTGGATGGCTATTCCTCTGGGTATTTTGTGTAGTAAGTTTTCATGACACGTGTTTACGTTGGTGACTTTTTTACTTTTAGGTTATGATTATTGGCATAATATCTGAGATTAGCAACCTGCAATATCTATTGATATTGTACTGGATGGCTAACAATGATGATATTTATCATATAATGAGCTCTCAGCCCTCAGCCCTATTCAGTTTGGTTTGCATCATCAATTTAGGCTATGATGATTGTCAGATTTTCTGAGATTAGCAACCTGCAATATCTATTGATATTGTACTGGATGGCTAACAATGATGATATTGACTAAATTCTGAGCCTTCAGCCATAATCAGTCATGCAACTCTTGTTGGCTTTGTGACCATTACTTGCTGTTGTGGGTTTGCTGGTTTTGTGTTCTGTTTGGGCACTGGTTGGTTTGCTTGTTTTGTGTTCAGTTTGGTGTACTTGCTGTTGTGGGTTTGCTGATTTTGTGTTCAGTTTGGGCACATGCTGGTTTGATGGTTTTGTGTTCCGTTTGGTGGACTTGTTGTTGTGGGTTTGCTGGTTTTGTGTTTAGTTTGGGCACAGATTTAAATGCATCATCTCATCCAACTGCACTGCGCAGATATAGGGAAATGCATTTAATAGCATAATCAGTTCGGTTTAAAAGTATTGTGGAGCGAGCGAGCTGTTGTTGGTTTGCTGGTTTTGTGTTTAGTTTGGTTATTTTGTGTATGTTGGTTGTGTTCAGGTTGGTTTGCAATGTTTTGTAGACTGGTTGTAAGCCATGTTGTGTAAATGTTGTGCCCCACATCAGGTTTTGTGTAGCCATTTTGTGGCTGGTTGTGTAGCTGCATGTTGTTACTTTCGTGTGTTCAGTTTGGTGTACTTGATGGTGTTGGTTATTTATGTGTGTAGCCTGGTTGTGAGCTAGGTTGGTTTGCTGGTTTAGTAGACTGGTTGTGAGCCATGTTGTGCAAGTGTTGTGCGCCACATCAGGTTTGTGTAGCCATTTTGTGGCTAGTTGTGTAGCCGCATGTTGTTAATTGAGTGTGTTCAGTTTGGTGTACTTGATGGTGTTGGTTATTTATGTGTGTAGCCTGGTTGTGAGCCAGGTTGGTTTGCTAGTTTAGTAGACTGGTTGTGAGCCACGTTATGTAAGTGTTGTGAGCATGTTCAGGTTTTGGTACGTGTTGGCTTTGTCCTCTACGGCCGTTGTCTTGCAGGTAAAAAACTTTTCTGTATATTATATTTTACTTCAATCATGTGGAATTAGGCTTTTTGTTTCACGTTTATTTCTTGTCTACAGTTAGCAATTAGCCCTGATGGGGTTCACATTCTTGGTGGCTCTAGTGATGGAAATGCTTACATATGGCAGGTATGTTTTAACTTTTAACATGTTTGCATCTCTAAATTCTCAGTTTCTCGCTTTGGACTCCGTATTGTCATTGTTGAACTTAGGTACGTAGGCCTGAAAGTAATCCAATCATGTTGAAGGGACATGAAGCAGAAGTTATTGCTGTAGACTGGTATGCATTCTAGAAAAGCAAATGCATCTGGTTCTTCTACAGCTTAAGGTCTTTTGGCTGACATTTTCCTTGTGCCCTTTTATTTTATATCCCTTCAGGTGCTCTTCTGACTATGGGAAAATAGCAACTTCATCAGATGACTTCATGGTGAGTGATGTCTCCAATAGTTTCCTAGAAGTTAACTTCATTACTTAAAAAATGCTCTTAATTATTAATCTTGTACCAAATATCTTTTACGTTAGGTTCGAGTCTGGAATATAAAAAAAGGAAGCTCCATTAGCACTAGATCGCCAACTGCAGTTCGAAAGAGAGTAATTGCACATTCAAGCATTGAATGCAGAAAGCTAATGATGGATGATTCTCATTCAGGATCAGGAGATATAGACAAGCACCTCTGCCATTAAAACGAAATGAAAATAAACTCACCCTTACCTATTCAAACTGAGGCAGTTAAGTTCACTACACCAGAATCCGGAAAGAAAAGAAAAATTGATATGTTTCTAAAGAGTCCAGCGTCTGAATCAGATAGTCCCTCTTCTGTCTTATATCCCCCTCCCTCTTTGAAAAGGAGAACCATTCGCGACTACTTTATGTCGTCATCTTGTAATTCTTGAACCACACTATTTTCTCTCTAAGCTAAGGTACTTATTTTCTCCCTCTATGATTCATTGACTATTTGCAATTCATATTACTTGATACTTTGTTTTTGCTGATACAGGCTTTTGAGTTTTGACCGACTGAGAGGCTGCTCCCCCGAGAATCCTCTCAAAGATGATTATTGTGGATATAACTGTCTAGAGCATCTAGCCTAAGAACTGCCAGCTATTAACATTTTTGTCCGATACCCATGAAGCTGGGGTAGTAAATATATGTTGTGTCATGCCAAAAATTTGTTGCCGAAGATCATAAGTTTATCTCTATCAGCAAGAGTACTTGAGAAATACTTTTGTAACTGCTCTCTGATCAATATACTAAGCCAATTATGAGGCCAAGAAATGCTTGTATTACAGGATACTATGACATGAGCAGGCTCTAAACATCTACTTAAACTTTGTAAATTGTTGACCTGATGTATAAGCATATTGATTAATCTGAAGATTGTTTACTAATTGTTGACCTGATGTATAAGCATATTGATTTAATCAGTTATGTTTCTTTTCATATCACACTTCAACACAAGGCGTGAGCAGAGAAATAGAATGATAAAAATGAATTTGCAGTTAAAGAGGATGAAAACAAAGGAATACCGTCATGCATTACTAAAGAAATCACGAACACGAGAAAGGGTAAGCTCAAACCCATCCGTAAAAGCTACAAAAGACTTATAGAATCCTGTGAGTTGTCTATTGTGAATATTTATAATCAAGGTTTGATGTTTCAGTAAGAATATCTTTAGTTTTAAGTCCCTACTTGAATATTTATGAGTATTGGCATTGATGGCTTATACGATGTGGGGGTAATCTTACCATGGTGACTATAAACACTTTTCACTAAAAACTTTAAAACCAACCAAACACAAGAAAAGTGAGAAATGTCATATCAACAAAAGTTTTCCATTTTTTTCCATGCGAACCAAACACAAGAAAAATAAATACATTGGTTTCCCATCATTTTTTTTGTACGAACCAAAGCGAAACAATCTATTTCTTGGAAAAGTTTGGAAAACTCAAAACTTGTGTTTTTGTACATGGAAATACATTTCCCTATATCTAGGAAACGAACCAAGCAGCCCCTTAAAAAAAAACTTTCACACGAATCTTTAATTTCTTAAAAGATAAATTTCACAAAGCTTCAATAACTTTAGCCATTTGACACTAAGCCTACAAACTTTCTGAAACCCACGATAACTTTTAGAACTTTAGAAAATCACCAAAACATTTTTAATTTTTTTCACTTAACCCTGTAAAAGTATTATCCCATAATTTTACTCTAATAAACATTACCCCTTAAGTCCAATATATACCTCTCAAGTTATTCCAATTTGCAGATTAATCCATAAAATTACAAACAACTATTAAAAAATTACAAACAACAATCTGATAAATATGACAATACAAATGACTCCTTGAAAAATCTCATATTACAAAAAATTCCTTTAAATTCTAAAAATTACAAAGAACGCTCTAAAAAAATCTAAAAACTATAAACTATAAACCATCCCCTTAAAACTCTAAAAGTATAGATGACCCCTTTAAAACTACAAATACTACAAAAAAAATCTCTTAAAAATATGAAAATTATAAAACACCTCTCATAAAATTCTAAAACTATAAAAAGGTCTCTGTAAAATCAAAAAATTGCAAAAGCATACAGTTTAAAAAAAAACAAAAAGAACTACCATAAAATTTTGAATAATGTGAATAGTTCCCATCAAAAAAAATTATAAACAGCCCATTTTAAAATCTAAAAAAATACGAACAACCTCCTTCAATATTTAAAAATTATATAGAACCCCAAAAAATAATAAACAACTATTATTAGGGGTTTTCTACCAAAAGTTATTGAGGGTTAAATAAGAAAATGAAAAATTCCATTTCCTTATTTTGTATTTCTGTTATAAGGAAACAATGCTTCGACTCAAGTTATTTACTTTTGAAGAAGAAGTAACAGTCCAAACAAAATTCAACATAATTTAAATTTTTTTAATGGAAGCAATTTTAATTTTTAGAAGCGAAACCAAACCCAAAAAAAGAAAATCATAGAGAACAAAAAAGTAGATATACAAATGAAAAAAACTAAATCAACTTGCCCGAGCACAAGCATAATACTTGTATTAGGTGATGTAACAACCAAATGGAGAACTAGTCTCGAGGTCAAGGCAGATCCAGAATTTTTTCCCATTGTGGACAACTAGTATTTATTTATCTAAAAATAAAAATATTATATTATAAAATTATAGTACCTAATATAAATACATTCAGCGCATTTTTTCAACTCTATTAGCCTTATCTCACTTTAATTGTTGAAAAGTTAAATGAGTTTTACTTTCCAATGGGCTATTTAATTTGTTACTAACTTCTTTAGTATTCTTAGACATATTGAGGTGCAATGTTTTTAATTCATGGAAGGCATATTGAAAATATTGCAAGGATTTATATGCAATTTATAAATTTTCAGAAGTATAACTATACAACGAAACATCTACTTAAAACAGTTTTGCTCAAAGGCACAGTAAATTTTCTTCTAAGTACCAATATCTTACAATATTAAGGACCAATTAAAACTGACACGCACAAATAATTAGTTAAATAAAACACTTTCTTCTAAGTACCAATATCCTACAATATTTTGTGTTTGGACTGGATTGGTAAAAAGGAAATAGAAAATTACAGAAACAGTTCATTTTTCAACTATCAGGATTTTGTGTTAAACAAGAGAAATATTGGATGCTGACGTTTGGATTGAGAACCTTGTTATTCAAGGAACATCAATAAGTTAAACCTATTCACTTGGTCGTGAGAACATCTTAATATCTTATAATTCAAAGTTTTAAAGTCACCCCACATGCACTGAAGTCAAATGAGCAGGACATACGACATATTACAAATTGTACTTTTTCCAACGATTATTCCCGACACATGGTTAAATACGTTACCAAAAATTATGTTTTTCCCGACGATTTTAGTTAGCGTCGGCAAAACATATATTTTTCCCCGTGTTTATAATTAGCGTCGCTAAAAGTGTTTATTATTTGTGATGGTTTAACTTAGCGTCGTTAAAAGTATATGGATTTCACGACGTTTTTCATTTTCATCGGTAAAAATATATATTTTTAGCGACTTTTTAGGATTGACGTCGCTAATAGTATGTGTGCATTTATCGCGACGTGTTAAGTTAACGTCGCTAAAAATCTCTTTTTCACAACGTCCCTGCTTTGTGTGGCTAAAAGGTCTATTTTTTAAAGATGCTTTTTTATTCATCTGCGTCGCCAAAAAAAGCCCACAACTCCCCCCCCCTAAATTTTCATTTTACCGCTCTATAAAAAACCCTAGAAATCTATTCAGATCCCCAATTCCCCCTTTTGCCTCTCATCCTCCTCCGCTCAAACTCCCTCTCCTCCCCTCTCACCTCCTTCTCTGTGACCAGGCCTAGCCGCCGCCCGAGTCCGCTATCCCCCTCGGCCTCCCTCCTCCGCTAGTGGTCCCGTAGGGTCTCTAGCGTCCGCCAAGTGCTCGCTTTCTTCGCCTCCCTCTCCCCCCTTGACTCCGCCACCTTCTCCTTCCCCGTCTTAATGGATTGCTCTGCTCCTCCAATTCCACCACCACCCCATTAAGCCCTTCGCTTCGGGCCAATGAGGCCCACGATGGCCCATCGGACTTCAAGTCCTACCTGCAGTACTCGGACTTCACTAACTACATGTGTCCGGCACCGGCTTCTCCTCCTCCTTCAAGAACTACTCCGACGGCGATCAACACCTTCTGCCGCTACAGCCGTGACTCCGTCGGCGACGAGGACTCCTCGCCTTCTGCTCCGTCTGCGGGAACGTCGTCACCACCAACTTCACCTCCTACTCCGCACTTTCTATTTCTATACTTAGTGAGAATTTCCTCTCCAATTTTTTTTGGTTAATTTTGTGGCCTTCATGAATTTTTTTTAAGTTGTTGCATAATTTTTAATGGTTGTAGCTTTTCAATTTGGTACAATTTTTGATGAGGTAACCTACACTATGATTATTGCTTTTGTATATTGTTTATACTTGCTTTTGTACTTTCTCTGTTTATGTGTAGATTATTGTTTGGCAATATAGTTTTGTAAATGTGAACGTAACCTACACTGTAATTACACTATACCTTTTTGCTATTTCTGATGCATGTTTGTAGATTTGATATGTAAAATTGTTGAAGCATTTTACTTGTTTATATATTCTGAATGTTATGACCTAGAGATGGTATGATTGCACAAGAAAATTTATCTCGTTTTAGTATGCTTCAAAATTTGCTTCATTCTACCTTTATTTGTGCAATAATAAATTTATATCATGTACTGTAATGGTGTCTTTAGGCAAGCTGGAAGCATGTACAAGAATGTAAAGAAAAAGATTGAGAGGGGCATTGCTTTCCCAACTTGTATTTCGGTCAACAACACTGCATGTCATTACTCACCATTGGCCAGTGATGAGACTATCTTGGAAGAGAATGATGTTGTGAAAATGTAAGGCTTAGTGGTCTAAAATTCCTTAATTTGAAAAGTTTATAAGGATTGTAAGAATATTTATAGCTTCTTTTCGATTGCAGTGACATGAGGGTGTCATATAGATGGTTTTATTGCGGTTGTTGCACACATGTACTTCAAGAAGGACCTGTGATTGGAAGAGCAGCGGATATGATTGCAGCAGCTAACACTGCTGCAGAGGTTGCCCTGAGGCTTGTGAGATCATGGAAAGAAGGTGTGTGAAATATAATCTCTTTGTTGTGAATTGTTACCCATACATTATAGTTATTTGATCTCTTAGTTAGGTATCTTGAAGTAAAATTACGCCTTCAGTGTGAATGTTCAGAGACTGATGTTGTTGTTCTCTTGAAGATTATTCCATGGATTTTTTTAGTTCTTAGGGATATCACTTCCTTGTTAATTGTACTAGGCGAGGCTGTTTGAGCAAGCATATGAGGAATGAGTTGGATGGATGTTAATTGCCAAGTTATCTGCAGCGAATTGTTACAAACCTGACCATTTGAAAAAAACCAGAGGACTAGGAACTAGATAATTTCTTTTCTTGTGTTCCTCGTTGTCAAAATCTCTTTCTAACTAATATACGTATTGCGAAGCTTGTCTCCATCTGTGTTGTCAAATATTTATTATGTTGTCAATGTGCTTCATAAAGGCTTCGGCGTGAAAATAAAGTTGCATATGCTAATAAACTGTTACAACGTACCCCAGTGGTAAAAAGATAAATACTTGGAGTTAATCTAGTTAAAGAAATGCTTGAATTGTATTCTTTTGATAAAGGTTTTTATTTCATTATCATTTTACTTCACTTTATTTTAGAGTTGCATGCGTGCGTCTGAGTATTGTTGGTTGCTTAGTTGAATTTACATTTTTTATTCTTACAACTGATTATCTTATTGGGAAATTGTTTTTCAACTTTCAGTTACCTTGTCGATTTATTGGAAGTAATACACTTAGTTTTGCAGCTTATGGACAAGCTGCAGGCATGCGGTACCTTGAGGGTATGTTGTCGTCTATTTTTTGAGCTTTTAGATGACTTATAAAATCATAACATAACAGATGAGTTTTTTCATTAATATGCATTAGTGGATTTTAATCTACCCAATCATATAGCTTTTACTTTGCATTTTGCTTAAGTTAAGCATATTATTGCCAAAATGGTTGGTCAGGGTTTTATACATGCATTACTAAATTGAGATTTATTATTTTATTAGCAAGGATAATATGTAGTTAGCCCTGTGGATAATATATGTCATTTTAGATTAACCTAAAAATGTAAATAAAATAATTCATAGAATTTTGCTTTGGAAACAGCCATATCTTCAGACTTGTGCATGAAATAAGAACAATGTTCGAAATTTCTTCATTGGACCTTGATGGAATCCTTGAGAACTAAGTTTCTTCAAAGGTCAAACTATGATGACAAAAGTGGATGGGAAAAAAAGAGATGCATTGTGTATAAGAAAGGCCTAGGGGCATTATACAAGCAACTTGTTTACACAGGCAAATGCGCAACCCCACCCTGAGCCATCATCCATTGCCTAGCCCGACCAACTAGAAAGCCCTCATACGATCGGGAGCAGCGTAGGTAATAATATATCATTATTTACATATCAGATTCACCTTTTCTTTATATCATTATTCAATTAAATTTATGAAATTAGTAAAGTTGACCGTAGACTCATGTTGTGAAATAACAAGTTTGTCATTGGAGTTTGGGAAGACACTGAATATGGCAAGTTAAATGCATGATTTGATGAGGCATGTGTGCTAGATTGGGTTTTTATGCTTAGATGCTCTTTATCTTTAATTCGAATCGATGGAAATGGAAAATCACCATGATGACTCTTTTAAAGAGAAGAACTTTTAAAACACATTGTTGTTTATTCAGGATATTAGGATTGGAGATAGATGAACAGGTGTTTCGGTTTTTACCTAGGATATGACCGATAGAATTCAGGAACACATCTAGTCACGGGTCTGATACATGTGCACTAAAATCTGTTGTAAACTGAAATTTCTTAAAATCTAGAAATCATGACTGAAGATTGTGATCATGTATATTAACTAGAATTAATACATCTGTCAGCCAAAAAAAACTAGAATACAATCAATAGGATTCTAAATTATCTGATCAAACCATATATGATTTATGACAATAGGATTCTAAATTATCTGATCAAACCATATATGATTTATGATTTGCAAATCGGAAGTTCTAAATACGAAGAAATGCACAATTATTTGCAAATCGGAAGTTCTAAATACGAAGAAATGCACAATTCACAAAAGCTGCACAAAATTTATTTTTGGCATGTGTATGTTTTTGGTTTAATGAATATGATATATGTACACCCAAAACTTTTTATAGAATGTGTAGCATTTCTCAAATAATTTTAACAAAAATTTATGTTTGCTTTATTCTTGTTATGCAGGAACTTGGATTTGATTATCTTGGAAGCAAAGAGCAGCTTGCCATGAGGCTACAAGCAAACTGGAATATTTAAACAGTTGTTCCATTCTTTCTTTTCTTTCACATTTTCCTCTCTTTCCATTGTGTTTCTTTTTTTCCTTCATGGATTACAAGCAAACTGGAATATTTAAACAGGCTTTTGAGCGTTGACTTGGAAATGGAAATGAATGTAACTATTTTGCAATGGGAACAAATTCTTTGTTTATCATAATATGCAACTTGTTTGGAGTATAATTTAATGTTTGGTTTCTTTGTTGATGTGAATGGGAGCAAATTTTTTGTGAATGTTCAGGTTCAATGTAGGCTTGTAGTTGACAGAAAAGATATTACTTTTGGCGATGCAAATTAGTGTCGACAAAAGTATACTTTTTAGCGACGCTATCTTGCGTCGCCAAAGATATAGTTTTTAACGACGCTTCATTCTGCGTCGCTAAAAGCTACACTTTTACCGACGTTAACTTGCGTCGTCAAAAGTATAATTTTTAGCTATGAACAGTTTTGCGTCGCTAAAAGCTATACTTTAGCCGACATATTGGCTTTTGGCGACCCTACATGCGTCGCCAAAAGTACAAGTTTTGCCGACGCACTTTTGCATATGAAAAAATTCTGCATATTTTTGCCGACGTAAAATATTATGCGTTGCTAAAAGATGTACTTTTCCCGACGCATGAAGCGTCGCCAAACGTGTTGACTTTTACCGACATAGTGTGTTTGCATCGTCAAATATTTTCTTTGACGCACTTTTGGTAACGTGTTAGCGACGCTGCATTTTGCGTCGGGAAAGATTTTTCCCGACGTTTTTTAAACTTTTGTCGACGTTTTTGTTTCGTCGACAATGTTGTTATTTGTTGTAGTAATCACTTCAAAATGTTGTCAAAGGAAAAGAAGGGGAGGAAAAAAAAAAGGTAGAAGAGGGCATATCTGTGATAGGGTGAAGAATAAGAAATATTGGCACTGCAAATACTGGAATAGAACGGGCGGACGCTGAACTAACACTGGATATTTATCTTCTGCTTGAATTCTTGTTTCAGTCATTATGATTAATCTGACATCATCTTAAAGCTTAGAAACTATATGATGAATGTTGACGGATACGATCAGATCAGCAAAGGGCCAAGCCAAAAAAAAAAAAAAAAAAAAAAAAAAAAAAAAAAAAAAAAGGAAAAGGGAAAATTTCCTCTATCGTGAGAATAATTATAGCAGTCAATATTTCGAGCAGCAGGTGAGAATAAAAAGCCATCGTGGTGTCCCAGAAACAAAAACAGACACGATAGTCAGCAAAACAGCAAACTTTTTTTTTTCCTAAGTTCTTTTCAATTTTCCACAAAGTGAACGAACTTGAGGCCAGGGCACCTGCAAAAGATACAAGCTTCTTGAGATACTCTCTGGAGAGTCGACCCAAAGCAAAATAAATAACAACGGTCGAATAATGATGTCAAAACATCGAACTGATCAGGACACGTACTGTTGGATTTAAGTCATGTATCACACGATTTCATGGAGAAAGACAATGCTAACGGACAAATTTTCAAAACCAACCCATTTGATAAACTAATTGCAAAAAACGACCCGTTTCAGATTTATTTAGAGAAACCGACCTGGTTTCAGCACTGTCGCTGAAACCAGGTCGGTTTTTCTAAAAAACTTTACGAAACTTCACGGGAACTCCCGTGAAGTTTTTTCTCATAACAAAACTTCACGGGAGTTGAACTCCCGTGAAGTTTCGGAATTTTTTTTTCAAAAACCGACCTGGTTTCAACGCTGAGGCTGAAACCAGGTCGGTTTTTGCAAATAAAACTGAAATGGGTCTTTTTTTGGGAATAGTTTATCAAATGGGTTGGTTTTGAAAATTTGTCCTGCTGACTATATATAGTACTGTTGGAATGACAAGAATCCAGAACTAGAAAATCAAACTAAGCAAATATGAACATGCAGGTGTTGAAGAAACATTGTCATAGCTTTTATAACCCTATGGAAGATAATTTAAGGGAAATAACTATGTTACTTGACTAACGGAAATTAATTGATTTTCGCCAGTCGATAATCTCGATTAGATTTTCCAGCAGAAATTCTTTTGGTAGAGGTTCCCAACAGACGCGGTTGTCTTGTGTTGGGCTTTAATTAGGGTTTTGAATCGTTTCAGTCCCACTTTTGCAGAGTTTAGTTAAGTTTTTGGTCCAACAGATTCACCATCTCATTCCCCAAAATAGGGATGGAGGAGAAAAAATGGGGAAGCTTCCCCAAATCTTTAACATTCTCCAAATTTTTAGAGGAAAAAAGTGATTCTTCAAAATGGGGAAGCTGTTGGAGTTGGTGTAAAAATAATTTAGAGAATATGACTTTTGCTTCCCCATTTTAGAGAAAATTTTAGAGAAACTGTTGGAGATGAAAGGCGTTTGAGCGTATGAGGGAGAAGAGAACTGCACGGACGCGGTTTGGCTTGAGAGAGAATGGTCGTAAATGGCCCCGTAACGCGTGGGCTGCCAAATTGGTCTTTGGTTTCAGCCCAATTGAAAAGTCCATAGGTGCAAATATTTTGAGAAAGGCTAAAATACGCAGTTCTATACTCTCCGCACATGACGTGGCCTAGTGGTCGGGGCTAGAGCCTTGACTCCTAGGGTCGATGATCGACACGTGTGCAAGACACGTGTGCATGACATGTCTGTCATATATATTCAGACTATGGAAGGAGGAGGGTCTCTCGGAGTCCTCTCTCACGCCTGATAGATAGTCCCAGCCAAGGTTCCTCCCATCAAAAATAAAGAAATATAAAGTTTTATAACTAGGCTCCGTTTGGTAACCGCTGCGGTTTGTGGTGTTTTCGTTTTATTTAAAAAAAATACAAAACGTGTTTGGGAACCGCTCCGTTTTTCAACCCAAAACTACAACAAACCCAAACTTTCAACGTGTTTCTCAAAACTAGGGCTGAGCATGGTTCGGTCCAAACCGATAAAACCGACCGAACCGACCCGAACCGATCCAGAAAAATCGATTTTATGAGTAGGGTGGTTCGGGTATTTATTTAGAGAAACCGACCTGGTTTCAGCACTGTCGCTGAAACCAGGTCGGTTTTTCTAAAAAACTTTACGAAACTTCACGGGAACTCCCGTGAAGTTTTTTCTCATAACAAAACTTCACGGGAGTTGAACTCCCGTGAAGTTTCGGAATTTTTTTTTCAAAAACCGACCTGGTTTCAACGCTGAGGCTGAAACCAGGTCGGTTTTTGCAAATAAAACTGAAATGGGTCTTTTTTTGGGAATAGTTTATCAAATGGGTTGGTTTTGAAAATTTGTCCTGCTGACTATATATAGTACTGTTGGAATGACAAGAATCCAGAACTAGAAAATCAAACTAAGCAAATATGAACATGCAGGTGTTGAAGAAACATTGTCATAGCTTTTATAACCCTATGGAAGATAATTTAAGGGAAATAACTATGTTACTTGACTAACGGAAATTAATTGATTTTCGCCAGTCGATAATCTCGATTAGATTTTCCAGCAGAAATTCTTTTGGTAGAGGTTCCCAACAGACGCGGTTGTCTTGTGTTGGGCTTTAATTAGGGTTTTGAATCGTTTCAGTCCCACTTTTGCAGAGTTTAGTTAAGTTTTTGGTCCAACAGATTCACCATCTCATTCCCCAAAATAGGGATGGAGGAGAAAAAATGGGGAAGCTTCCCCAAATCTTTAACATTCTCCAAATTTTTAGAGGAAAAAAGTGATTCTTCAAAATGGGGAAGCTGTTGGAGTTGGTGTAAAAATAATTTAGAGAATATGACTTTTGCTTCCCCATTTTAGAGAAAATTTTAGAGAAACTGTTGGAGATGAAAGGCGTTTGAGCGTATGAGGGAGAAGAGAACTGCACGGACGCGGTTTGGCTTGAGAGAGAATGGTCGTAAATGGCCCCGTAACGCGTGGGCTGCCAAATTGGTCTTTGGTTTCAGCCCAATTGAAAAGTCCATAGGTGCAAATATTTTGAGAAAGGCTAAAATACGCAGTTCTATACTCTCCGCACATGACGTGGCCTAGTGGTCGGGGCTAGAGCCTTGACTCCTAGGGTCGATGATCGACACGTGTGCAAGACACGTGTGCATGACATGTCTGTCATATATATTCAGACTATGGAAGGAGGAGGGTCTCTCGGAGTCCTCTCTCACGCCTGATAGATAGTCCCAGCCAAGGTTCCTCCCATCAAAAATAAAGAAATATAAAGTTTTATAACTAGGCTCCGTTTGGTAACCGCTGCGGTTTGTGGTGTTTTCGTTTTATTTAAAAAAAATACAAAACGTGTTTGGGAACCGCTCCGTTTTTCAACCCAAAACTACAACAAACCCAAACTTTCAACGTGTTTCTCAAAACTAGGGCTGAGCATGGTTCGGTCCAAACCGATAAAACCGACCGAACCGACCCGAACCGATCCAGAAAAATCGATTTTATGAGTAGGGTGGTTCGGGTTGGTTTGAAAACTTTTCAACCCGAACTGACCCGAACCGACCGAATATAGTACAATACTACTCATTCTGATCTCAAACCCTACCCGACCCGTCCCCAAAGAGTCAAAGACTCAAACCCTAAACTTGTTTTCTGAATCATTATAGGTTGGAAACAATATCATTATATCAGTGTTTAATGTTTTATAATCTCCTACTTTGTTGATATCTTTTTTTTTAACACAGTTTGTTGTTTGATAAGAAGTTTTATGAAGTTAGAACCGAACAAACCGAACCGAACCGCACCGAACAGACTTGCAACAGTTCGGTTCGGTTTTGAATTATAGGCGGTTCGGTTCGGTTGTTCAAATTTTGGTAAAAATCGAGCCGAACAGACCGTTGCACACCCCTACTCAAAACAACAAATAGGTGTTTAAAGGCCGTTGTTTTCATTTTCCCTAAAATATCGACCCAAACTCTCAGATCTGAGAGTCGCCATCGCTCGCCCAAATCGTCGTCGACGTTGTCGTGGTCGTGACCATCGCCATCGCTGTCGCCTGTCATCGTGGTCGTCGCCGTCGCCTCCAGATCCCCAAGCGTAGTCGTCGTCGCCCAGATCTCCCAGCCCCCGTCGCTATCTCCGTCTTGCTTCAGATTCCCAAGATCCCCAGATCGGAGCACCTTTCGTCATCCCCCAGTCCCCAGTCCCTAAGATCCCCAGATCCGAACCCTTCCGCCTTGCTTCAAATCCCCAGTCCCAGTTGCAGTCCCCGTCGTGGTCGTCGCCGTCCCCCAGATCCCCAAGCTTCAGATCTGAACCCTTTGGTCGTTGTCGTCGCTTCTAGATCCCGTCGCCGTCTCCCGTAGATCCCGTCACCTCCGTTCTCAATGCACTGTAACCATTATCAACTCTTGATCTGGTTAAATTTTTTTTTTGAATATATGACTTGTTTTGATAATTGATTCACTTCTCTCCCCTTGATTAACTCCCACTAAACCCCTTCTAATTTCTGATAATTGATTCACTCATATCCCCTTGATTAACGTACTGTAACCATTTTTTTGCTTAGTTCAGTTCATGAAAAAAATCCAGTTCATTGAAAAAAAATCAAGAGATAATTGTTGTTTGGTTCTGTTGTACATGTTTAGTTCAGTTCATGAAAAATATCCAGTTCGTGATGTACATTTTTGCTTGGTTCTGTTGTAAATTACAATACCTTATAAATTTGCTAATAATAATATAAGTCCAAAAAATTGTTGTTCTTGAAAAAATAATGTATAAAGTAATTGTTGTTCTTGCATTATTTTCTTATTATTGTGTAGAATGTTTTTTGGGTAGGATGAGTTGCATTAAATTCTCTCTACGAGAATTTTTTGAGAACTTTTTGGGTTGATGATGTGTTAATTATGATATCGGTGTTGATAAGCATTGCAACTAGTATTTCAAAACCACAACGGTGTTTTCAAAACACTTTGGGAGCAAAACAAAACATCAATATGTTTTTCTAGAAAAACACGACAACAAAAACAGTTTGGTAGCCAAACAAAATAAATTATTTTTTAGTCCAACTGGCCTACTATTTCTAGCAGCAAACGCTTTTGCTCTCAGGCTTTGAACTGTTTGGAGATTGGTGCGAAAAATTAACCTTGGTTACTCCCACTTTCTGGGAGGTTGCATAGTTTTAGAAGCTATATATTAGCACGGAACTTCAATTCGTTCTACCTTCAGACATTAGGAGTATACCTCTCCAGCGAAATTCTCTTGATTTTTGTCAACTAACAAAATTTCCCCCCGAATGTTTAAGCATGTTTCAGCTGATTTATGATGTACAAGTTTCTGATTAAAAACTTCAATCAGGAAATCAATTTTGCTAAACTTCTTTTGAATCTTTTTGCTGTTTTCTGAGTTTGGAGAAATTCAAAGAGCTATTTTGGAAATGGTCCGGCAATATTGTGCATGAGCCTTACAAATGCAGGATTTGTGCCAAATTATTATAATTTTGTCTTTTTGCATTTGTCCTAAAAACTAAGCATATATATATTATATATATATATATATATATATATATATATATATATATGTATACTCTATATATATATAGTATATATATATATATAATTTGGCCACAAATCCTGACATTTGTGAAGTGGTGTGTGTGCGTGCGGCAAGTGTGTATTATAATGTGTGTTTTTGTTTTTATCAGTAGCTGAAAATTTCTTTTCTCTAGATTAATTTTTTTTTGTGGAGCCTACATTTTGTAAGTGGGTGTGTGTGCATGCGCGTGTGTATATAATGTGTGTTTGTTTTTATGTAGCTGAAAATTTCTTCCTTAGAATTTTTTTTTTTGTGGACAATTTCAATGTGAAAAGTGAGATGCATAATCTTCTTGAGCATGAGGAATGATGCTCCCATAATTCAGCCAAAGCAAATTAAACAACAAGTTTGCTCTCAAATGAATACAAATAATCTCATCCAAATTAATTCATATAATCGTAAATAATTGATATGGATGGATATTTATCTACTCCATTTGAAATATAAATAAAAATGTAAACAATGATTAGAATTTTGATTGGGGGGGGTGCCTTATGTCAACTTAAGTGGACCATCCACCAAAGTCTATCCGATTGATGATACCTAGAGATTTATGCATTATATGAAGAGACTTTTCATCAATGGATGAAACTTTAATGGATGGTCCACTTAAGTTGACAATACGTTTCTCTCTCTCTCTCTCTCTCTCTCTCTCTCTCTTCTCTCTCTCTATATATATATATATATATATATATATATATATATAATATATATATATAATATATATATATATATATACTATATATATATAGTCCTAATTCAGTACATAATTAAATCCAACACCCTTTCAGACATGGATTCCAACAATATTTTGTTTCTGCTTTTCTATTTGTAATAAGAAATAAATACAAGTATGATAATATTGATATATTCTCTTTATATTCCTACATTTCAAGCATGGGTAATCAATAATCAAGAAAAACCTTTTAAATTTGCCCAAATTGAAAGTATAGGAACTCTAATGCAAGACAGGCTTTGTATTTGGCAATCTCAAACTACTATAAGTTATATATGTACATCTAAATACTATAATTAAATTACTAAGTAAATACTCATTTTAAAAGCTAAAGATATAAAGCAACTAATAAGCAACATCAAATAGCACGATGAACCACAAATTTTAAAAAAAATACAAGTACAAGATGCAGAAGTTCTAGACTGACATTTGCATCAAAAAGAGTTATAGACTAACATTTATGGATTCAGATTTAAATTCCCATGTGACTTCATCTCAGCCTTCAAATTTGAAACAAAAAATACGTATCAAGGTAATTGGACACTCTTCAATTACCACCTAATTAGAGAGAACTTTGATCCCACACCTACAGACTTTGAAAGTGATAGGAATAGAACTAACGGTAATTGGAATGGCAATGCCTACACAATCAATTAGCTAAAGTGCAAAAAGAATCAACTAAAACACAGAAACAAAATAAATACGTCATTAATATTTGTACGTCATGCATGCATTTGATGTAATATAAATCTTATCACCAACCTAACGAAGTTTATCAACCAAGCAAAGAACGACCGTGACATGGGCAAGTCCCCTCTTCCCTCCTAACTTCTGACCTTCTCTCAAGAGGTACAATAATATTGGACAAGTAAGCAAGACGTCTATACTATAAACAATGATTACTGGTGAAATTAGCAGATAAATGATAGGTATTAGATGGTTGTTACGAGCTAACCGAATTGACAAGAAACAATTATTATTAGGCCAATTAATGCAAAACTACAAAAAGATTGACAACCTAACATCTTGATATGAGATTCTACGATCCCTATAAGGACAGAAACTGTCTTATCACTTGCCCACAGATGTTATCAAATATAGGTGGACCAATTATATATAAACACGAAATTAGTTTAATCTTATAAGAAAAGGTACATTATTAGTCTACTTAATGATCATCAATTAGCAGTTCACCACAAAAAAATGCATCAAAGTAATGCTTCAACTCCCCAGAGACATTTGATTATCAAATTTCCATTTACAGCAGAGTCCATAACAAACCTTGAAATTCTCCCAAAAAACTCTAAAAAGCTAAACAAAACAGAAGACATAAAGATCAAAATAGGAAAAACTGAGAGCTCTTTGTTTTACATTTTTGTATATTATCATCATCTTTGCTCATGGATTCCTCCTCTCCTGCCAAGAGAGCCTGCAAACAAAAACAACGTTCAGTTACAAATCGAAACTGACAAGAAGACAGTAGTCTCTGAAGATACTGGCAAATGAACTTAGGAATAAGGAAAAGGGTTACAAAAGCAAGACAGAGGTAAGGACAAAAGGCAAGTAATGGCTCAAGCTGGAGAAAATGGCATAGAATCCTAAAGCAGCCAAAAGATGAAGTCCCCAGAGCAGCACAATTATAGACAGGTTGGTGGCAAAGCAAAAAGGGGGGTTCACAGACAAACAAGAGTCATGTGATACAAAAATTTTAATTTTTTTTAAATTAATTAAAAAATTCAAACAAAACTAAACAA